GGGACTACAAGGTTGTTTCTGTTCAAAATTTTCTAAGTTTTTGGGTTTCCAAAAAACTACATACAGCAGCTTTAAGGACTTCTGAAAGGAGTTTAGGAAGCGGTTTGCTTCAAACCATAAGAATGATTTTTAGAATTAACCCAGTCTGTTTATTTGTAAAATTTCTCATGAACTATGGAACAGATTTAAGTAAAACTCTCAGAAAAGCAACTATTAGACACAACATCTACAACTGTTCACCTTTTGTGTGAGACTGTCGTGGGGAAAGCCAGAATGCGAGGCAGAAATTAAAGCCTGCAGGGAGGAGCAGGGAAAAGAAAATGGGGAGAGGTGGCAAACTTACTGTATTTCTAGCAGCAGAGTGGGTTGGCAGCTGGTTATTTAATTTTATTTTTATTTTAGTGCTGGGCATAGATTAATTGGCACAAGGTTGATCAACTTCCACGGCTTTAGGCCCTAATGTCACAGCGGATGAAGGTTTGTGGTCAGAGGTTGCTGCTCATTTAAAGAATAAAGTTTATTTCCAATATAAACCTTTATGACTAATTTGTCTTGGTTTTAATTAGTGGGTCAGTATGACCCAGAACAGAATAGGTGTTGTTTTTGGTGTGTTTGTTTTTGTATTGGACATAAAAAATATGTAACATGCTTTTTTTAGCAAAATGAGTGAATTGTCCTCATTGATCCTTTTTCTGAAACAAAAAACATCAATTCACAAATTGAAATTATTAGTAATGGACTTAATAATCAGAATTAAAAGTGTTTTGGAGGATTTTTTTTTTGTTTCTGACACTAGAGCATGATTAAACTTGCCCCGGGTCAAATTGACCCAGGAACATTGTTGCTGCTCCTCAGAAACGAACGTAACAGGAGGGTTAATCTCAATTTTTTTTAGGAACAATCACTTTACTATGGATGAATAAATACATTTATATACGTATGTTGCAATACATGTGTGACACTATGTACAATTTTGTTCTTTTTTTTTTACTTCTTATTCCTTATTATATTTTTTCCTGACAACTGGGGCTTAATCTATCTTTGATTCCTCATAATACTCATTTGGAAGTACAAAAAAAATCTTGATTTAATTTCATCATGCTGCACATAATTTAACTCATTAAAATATGTTTAGAGCATTTTAGGTGCTTTTTTCATATAAGAAGGGGCAATGCATTTAACAAAAAAATTAAACAAATAAGGCTAATCAAGCCGGTCTTTTTCCTGTTTACCCTAGTTTTAAACTGAAGTGATTTTTCAGACTCAAACTGGTCAAAAACATGAACTTATACTTGAACAACTTGATCAAACTGAACAAGAAAACAAACCAGAACAACTCATTTTTACTCTCATGAACGTCTTTAGTAGTCATAAACATGCAAACACATCATTTCTGCAAGATTCCTCAGCAAGGAATGCTGGGTAAATACTGGTCTGTCTGACATGAGGGGGAAGAGGGCGGGGCTTTTCAGGATACTTCTTTCAAAACTGCATGGTGTTATATAGCTACACTGTTTAGTGTTATTTAAGACTTAACTGTGGGCGGAGCTTATTCAACACTGTCCAGTGTTGAGACAACACTGAGGAAATCAACACTMTGAATTAACACCAACACTGGGTGTGAGTGTACTCAGAAAGTGTTAAAACAACACTAGGGAGTGTTAAATCAACACCCAAATGTTTAACACTGAAATTTTAACWCTCCTMTTTTTGCTGTGTAGCATAGCCTGGTCACACCCCCTTTTACATCAGCCCTGTTACATTGTGACAAGTCTTTGTTTATCCTGCTGTGAAAGGATACACAACAAACAAACTGATTCTCTCCCTGTTTAAATTAAATAGCTATAATTGATCACAAAGTGTCAAATATAAAACTGTCTCTAAAATTCAGTTAATAAAACACAAAATGTCCTTCGGTCAGTGCACAGATAAATGTAGGATGGGGCTGACATGTATGATTGTTTCCTTGTGTTTGACTAAGGAGGAACAGCGTCCCAACAGAGAGGCTTCCTGGGCTGCATCAGATCTCTCACTGTCAACGGTGCAAACTTTGACCTGGAGGAGAGAGCCAAGATGACGCCAGGCGTGAGCTCCGGCTGTCCTGGCTACTGCAGCGGGTCCAGCAGCCTGTGCCACAACCGCGGGCGCTGCATCGAGAAGAGCAACGGCTACATCTGCGACTGCTCACAGTCTGCCTACGGGGGGGCCACCTGCAACCAAGGTGKGTCCTGCTCGCCGTGTCTGTAAACAGCAGCTACACCGTGTAATTCTTTTAATCAATTATTGTTGATTATAACAAACAGAAAATCCATCATTGTCAGGGCTGTTCTATTACTGAGAGCCAATAAGAACACAAGCAAGGCAAGGGACAATTAATACTTGTCTAGACTGCAGAAAGCGAGAGCATTTAAAATGCATTAGAACAAATTATCTCCTGCTGTATGTGAGCATCTCTAGCGTGCACAGAGAGAAGAGGAGCAGGCACAACAAACAGCACTACGACCAAGTAACAACAAAARCATCTGAACACACACTCTACAGGAAAACAAATAAAAAGCCTGCCTGCAGCTGCAGRGCAGGGTTCGGTGTTCTCAGTTCTCATGATGTTGGACCTGCCACAGCCTCAGCTCAGTTATGTGACAGAAGCTGCATCTAACACACTTAGCTTACTGCAGTGAAGAGCCGAAATGTGATGCAAGTCATGGGACTTATTGGTACTCTACAGTGGTTCGCAGTCCTGGTCCTTGTGGACCACTAGCTTGCATGTTTTAGATCAGGGGTGGGCAATCCTGGTCCTCGAGGGCCGCAGTCCTACACTTTTTATATATTTCCCTGCTCCAACACACCGGATTCAGTCACTGAATTACCTCTTCATGTTCTGCTGTACGGAGGACCGACACTGACATAATTAGAATTAAAAGCAGAAACACATAAATGAACCACTAAATAAATAAATATGTTTAAAATGCACCAAATAAATTAAAAAAGAATGTTACCTCAAGTTTTATAGTTTAATTTACCTTCATATTTATTTTTCCAGCTTAGTTCCAATAAAT